TGTCTCTGGATGTGAGAAAGAAGAGTTGGTTCATCAAAATCAGCACCGTCTTTCTTTGCAGAGGAGTTAACTACTGCCTTATCTTTCATGGCTTCCTTCTCTAATTTCTTTTTCTCAGCATCAGCCTGCCTTTCATTTTCCTTCCGTGCTTTTTTAAATATCTTGACAAAAACAACCAAGATCTGTGTAACTGCAATTATAAACAAGTATATTGATTTTTTATTATCACAGAGCAATAAAAGCACGTATAGTAACAATAGTTGATCACAATAAACAATGGGGGTAAAATTAGGGGTGTTCACGGGGGTGGTTTGGTTCGTATTTTAATATTTTTTAATCTAATCCAATTTAATCGGTTAGTAAAATTTTTAAATTAATTCAATCCACTATTATATGATAACCAAACCAATCCAATTTAAATCGGATCGGTGTGGTTCGGTCGGATTGATCGGTTTTTAATACTATTAAATATATACGATAATATAAATAAATTTAACATTAAGTAAAAAAACATAAATATAAAATACGTTAATATCCAAATAAATAGAAACATAATTAAAAAAGTACAAATTATAAACAAATTCTTATACTCTTTTACAATTGTAAAAATTAAAAAGATTTAGAAATTATAAACAAATTCTTAAATTTTTATCTTGATCTCCAAGAATACCCAAAAGAGGGCTGCCACCAGCCTTCCAAGCTCTTTTAATTTTGATTTTGGATGGGTATTTATAAGGTTTTAGAAACCCTAATTGAAATAGAAGTAGGATTTGAAACAGAATAAGAAACTTGAATGTTCGACGTTGAATGTATAATGCTGACACTCTGAATTACGTATCGACACAAAACAAGAAACAGAAAGTTTGATTTTGGACTATTAACCCATGGTGTCGACACCCATATTATGTGTTTAAAAATAAACCCAGCAAAATGAAGACGACAACCTTGGCAAGTGCATGTTACTCAAGAAGGTAGGGTTTTAAGAATAAAGTTACAACTCACTTATAAAGGTAGAATTGTAGGGGAATTTGAAATTTAGAATTAAAATTTAGGTATATAATTAAAAAAAATAAATAAATTAGGAAATATAAGATATGCTATTTTTATTTTTAATTAAATCAACAGAGTCATTATCTTGTAAAATAAGAAAAAAATTTTGAAATATTGTAAAAATATTATATTATTTAATTAAGTTATTTTATAATCGAATTTTTTTTTATAATAGGGCGGTTCGGACAG